GAGGGAGTTCTGAAAATTCAGTTGATCTTCTTAGTATTTTATGATCCACATAGTGATGCTTGTTGAATTTTAAGTTTTTCGGTTCTGCCTTGTTGGCGTCACATATCCCATATGAGAATTTGTGTAGAGATCATTTCTACTGAAAGTAAAATTAAAACTGGAAATCTTTCTGTCAGTCTAAGGTTTTATAACAGCTTTTTTGTACAAAGTCTAAACTTGGAGACAGATTTGACTTGTACTTTTAAACGATAGTAGCCTCAGAACACTGCTAATAAATGCTGGAGAACTTGTCAGTGCTCAAACAAGTTTGAAGATATTTGAATTATTTGCCAGATGGAGTTTGGGCTAGAATGTATGTCCTAAATAGCTGATCAATTAGTATTAAATGCCTAGCAGTTATCCTTATTGTATGTAGTTATCCATACTTTTTTAACATTATCATAACCTATTAATCATTTGTTAACCCTTTATAAACCATTTATAAATGTACCTTGAATAAAAAAAGTGTGACCATTTGGGTTTTTTCTCAAGTTTAATATTAAAGGCAAGTCCAAGGTCAAGATGGGCACAGGGAGGCTTTGGGGAGCTGGTGTAGTTTATATTTTGGCCGGTCAGCTGAGGAACCACGTGGAACTAAAATTAGTAAAGTGTGTGCAGTGAAGAAAGTTCACACGGTGTAATTCGCTGTGGGCAGTATTAGCGTTGATTTACCCAATCTGTAAATGGCATGGGCTGTCTAGACCTTTGGAACATTCCTCAGCTCCTTATTTAATGTAGGAGGAATCATTTCTGAAATTAGCATATAAATTGTCCATAGTCAGCAGCCCTTTAAAACAGTGTTCTACCCTTGTGTCATGGCACAGTAACTGTTTTAACAAAAATAAATGTCCTGGTCGGGCACGTTCTCATGAAGAAGCTCTTGACTTCACATTGCTAAAAAAAGTGCATAAAGCTGAGAAAATTCATTAAGTTAAAAATGGGGAAATGGTCAGGATTTGATTTGGGTAATTCGTATTTATTTAGTCCCATTAATAAGGGGAAGCGTGTTATGATAAGGAAACATCTGGCAAGGTCTGTTCATGTAGGTTTATGTAAGTGAAACTGGAGGCTTTTTGGACTTTGACATAAAATTTTTTCCTTTCCTTGGCCTTCCCACATAACTTTTGTACAGGCCATGCTGTGTGGGGCATTCATTCCAGGGCCTTCCTGGTACCTGGCACAGGGATGCTGCCGAAACAAGGTACAGGGAACCCCTTGGAGGCAAAGCCTCCTCCTTGGCTCTTGTTCTTTTGTTGGATCTTCTGAAGTCCTGTACTTACTCCTTTCCACTTTAGTTGCCAAGAGTAACACGCAGGAACATGTTCTCTTTTAGGTTATAATTTTCAAGGGAAGATAATATAATATAATGAGCATTCAGGTCGTGAATTTGTGTAGGAACTGGGATCTTGCTGTTTAAAAAGGGTAGATATGTAGCCAGAGGTGAAAAATAAATGACAATATGGTGTGGAAGGTTTATTTGGCATGGATCTGAGATGACCACACTGAGCAGTGAAGCCAGTAAAATCTTCGTACTAGGAAATCATGTGTTCTGAACATGCCATGCACTTTACAGAGGAACTATTCCAGGAATGTTGCTGGAGAGTTTTATATGTTTATTTGGTACTTATTTTTCGTCTCCCTTGCTCCAAAAGCCAGGTACTTTAATCACAATGAAATCCATTGCCCAGGTCACAGAGAAAAAGAAATGGAAAATAATGTATCACAGTAACTCCTAAAAATGATCTAAAATAACATTTTTTATATGCAACTGAATCATAATTTTAAGTTGGGGTATTTCCTTACCTCCGCAGGGTTAAATACTGAATTTTTTACTGAAAGTGCCTTATTAAAAAGCTTTTCTTCATTCCAGAAAGGTTTGCCTTTTGGCCAGCAAAGCTTTCAAGATGCTGGATCTTAAATTTGTCATGGTCCCAGTGTCCATCCTGTATGTCACCCTCATGTTCTGAGGAAAACATGTGTTTCAAAGCAGGGGGTGAGATAAGTTTTTTTCCTGATTAAATACTGAAGAGCTGTTCAAGAAGGAATAATAAAAAAATCCCAACAAAACAACAAAACCCAGCTCCCCAAAAATAAAATAAGTTGCTTACTTGATGCTAGGTTAGAGTAATTTTGGAAATGCTTTATCCTGTCTTCTGTTCAAGTAGCTTTAAAATTATTTTACGCGTGGGCAGCCCCAGTGACCTTCTGATAGGGATGTCATGGTTAAGCTTGTTGTAGTATGAGGATCTCCAAAAGGTCATACCTTTATCTTTGTTGGCTTTTTTTTTTTTTTTTTAACTTCAGTTTTATAAAAAAAAGCTTGTATGGCCAAACACAGGGGGCCTGATAAATGCAGGTTACGTGCGACGAGCGGGGTTTGTGTTCTGTGCTGCTGCTCTGCCTGGCATGGGGAGGCCTCGGCTGGTGCCTGTGGGCCACAAGCTGGATACAAAACAAAAAATCACGGTACAAAGTGACAGGCAGATGGCTGGGGTGGAACACGGGAGCCCTGGCTCGTGTTTGTGTCCCCTGGTCGGGGTGAAACGGGTGCGCTGAGCCTTTCCCTCCTGAGCCGGCGATAGCGGCTGTTTCGTGACTGTGAGCTTGGCAACTGGAATAAACTTCACGTTTATTCCACAGGCTTTGGAGTGTCTGATCCCGAGATAACCCTGTCTGAAGTGTCAGAATGTACTGGATGAACCAGTGCAGCCCATGGGAACGTGAGGTGGGTCGTGGCGCTCTGGGACAGGCGTGGATTTGGGGATTGCTCTGCGACACCTCAGCGCCCGCCGCGCCTCTGCCGCAGCTCCTGGAGAGCTGCCCCTGCCAAGTTTGGGGTGGTAGTAGTGGTTTTGACAAGCACCTCTGAGGAACACGACTTTGATGATGTTTGTGCCTGAGTCAGCCCCGATCCTGTGACAAGAAAACCTGCTGCATTCCCTGAAAAGTGTGTTTGTGGGGCTCAGAGTTACGTCCTTGTGGTCTGCATGTCGTAATATCTGCATTTTTTGAGTAGTCCCCAATGGAAAAAGGGCTTTGAATTTTCCTGTCTATGCTCCTGTGATATTCTGTAGCTTGTGGTGTGACTCCTGTGCAGGCATAAGGATGGGGCTCAATGATCCTTGTGGGTCCCTTCCAGCTCAGCATATCCTGTGATTCTGTGAAAGGATGTATGCTTGTTTTGATGTTTTCCTTTAAAAATATTTCTGCTTCAGTAGCACTTCAAATGTTTGAAGGGTTTCCCCCTCCCTTATTACCCAGTTTAATTGGAATTATGGTGCCTATCAAAAAGTATTACTGCAAGGTGACCTGGAAATAATAATTTCCTTTCATCTATACCAAACATTTGTAGATCATTAAAATGTCACAAATAAAAAAGTCTTAGTCACAAAGCGATGGCTTTATATGAGCACAGTAAAATATGAGATTTCATTATATACAAAAAGGCTATGTTTTGTATTCCTGGTTCACAGAGCAAGCCTCCAACACATGTGGAATGCATGGCAGGATGTAGGACCCTCTAAGGGCTGTGTACAGATATGTGAAGGGGAAGAGGAGGGGGAGGAGGGGGGGGGGGGGGGAAAAAGCACTGTGGGTCTGAGGAAACGACCCCTTTCAGTGACAAATGGAGCATGTGCTCCGGGTCTCCGGGAGGATTTGTGCAGGGATCTTGCTCTCCATGTGCACACATTCCTCTGAAGCAGACAGGTGTTAAAGTGAAATGGTGCCCAGAGGACACAGCACCCTCCTCTGCTATCAGCAGCCTGACCACATGACGGATCCAAAAGCAGCCAAGCACAACTGCTGAGGGGTTTGCCAAGGACTTGGATGCCAAATGCTGTGAGAGAGTATCCTTGCCAGCTTGGCACCTTTAGGCCATGTGGCTGCTGCTGGCATGGAGTCGTCATTGTAATGTGCTGGGAAGAATGGAAGCAGAAACTGTCTTAATAGTTCCTTGTGAATGAAGCCCTCTTATTGTTGTGAATATAAAATATTAATTACCTTACAAATGTACTTGAGAGGCTCTGCTTGGCTTTGGCATCTGTCCAGACCTGCAGTGATGAAATCAGAGGATTTTGCCTCTTGGCAGTTGAATTTATTTATCCCCTCCTGCCCCTCCCCGGCATCTCACTGGAAATAAGAGGGGAACTATTTGAAAACAATTGACATCTGGAGGAAGATGTTCATTGGCTTCTGGGATTTGGATCAGTCCCTGAGCTGGTGCCTTAGGAGTGGATTTAACCAGTGCTGTAATCTTCTGGCACCTGTTGCACTTTTTGGCAGTGGCACAGGACAGCTTTGATTGCACTGGGACTGGAGTAGTGAACATATGTCTAATGCCCATCCCAGAAAGAATGACTTAGTGCCCTTAATGCCTCTCCTATTGTTTTTTTCCCCCCCTACTTTCTCTTGTCTTATTCATCAAGCTACTGTTAGTAGTTATTACATGCAGGCAAGCACCCATCAGCATCTTCAAACAAAGCAGGGATAAAGCAAGAGGAAAACAGGAGCTGGGGGAGTTCTGCCTTATTAGAACCCGGCTACTTTTTGCAGTTGATTTTCAGTTGTTTGTCTGGCCCTGAATCTTTAAGAAGTATGGTAAATAAAGGACTCCAGGAAAAATGATGCATGTGCCAGTGTCTGAGATGCAATCAGAAGAAGAGTATGTTTTCTAAATACATTCATCAAAATAACCAATTATGTATCTTCAAGAAGGGGATTCAGAGGACCCATTAAAGGAAGTCTCTGCCTACATGTCTCTGCACTGATTGTACATCTGTAAATGGCTGCCATCCAGCAAAGCTCTTAAGCGCATGTTTAACTCTCAGCACAGCCTGGCTACAGCAGTGTTGCTAACTTTGGCATGTGAGCTTTTCTGCTTTTGGGGCATTCACATGCCTAGTGAGAGGCACATGCTCATGTGCCCTTCTGGATAACTGGCTCTTTCTTGTGTCCTACAGGCCCGCGGCCAGGAGTGCGAGCCCAGTTTCCTGCTCCCGTAGAAGGCATGGAAGATGGCAGTAGGGCTGCATGTCATCTACAGCTCTGGGGTTTTTATCTTCCTCTTCAGCATCACTGAAATACAGAGGTACAAACTCCTGAGAAATGGTGTGAAGCCTCCCAGTGCTGTGTGTAACTTTACCTTTCCTGATGCCTGTGCAGAACTTAGTGCCGTTTGTTTAAAGTGACTCCAAGTAACTCGTGCAAAACTGTGGCAAAGACTGAGAGATAGAGGAAAAACATCATGCTTAGATATCAAACACTTGATTAAAATCTATGCTGCTGCATCACAGTTGTAGGTGTTTGTACTGAGGGAAAGCCTGGGGACTTGTGTGTGTTAAAATTTATTGTTGCGTTTGCTGCCTTGTAAAAAGTCATTCTTTAGAGCTGGGGGGATGGATTAGGTTTGGAGAGAAAGTCCTCAGGTCCTTATGGTGGTTCTTGGAATTACAACTCGTTTGTCTAGGAAGTCAACAGAAGATCTTGGGCTTTCCTGTCTACCTACAGATTTCAAGTAAGGTGAACGTCAGTAAAGGCAACGTGGCTGATAAAGCTCTTAAATTATAAACGAGAATTTAATTAATTATAATCTGATTGCTCAGATCTCATTTGGTACCTCTGTCAGCATACCCAATTTAGGGAGAAAAAAAATATAAAGGGAAAGGAAAAATTCCATCAGTAACAAACAACTGTACCCATAAATTCCAATTCTTACAGTAAAGTCCAAGCAAGCGAACTCGGCAAAATATTCCAGTGTGTGCAGTCCAGAGTCCACTAGGATATTTTCCAGACTACCATCTGCATCAGAAATTTGCTGGGCAAAATAACTCTGATTCTCTCCAGTAGCTTCTTGGTATGCCTGAGGTGGGATTCCAAAAGAGGAATAGCTGGCAAGTTGTGTTTTGTTTTTACCTTGGCCAAAGCCTGTTTGAATTACAGGGATCATAGTGCATCTCTGGTCTTTGGAACCTGCACTCATTTATTTTAAGAAAGTTAATTTCTTGGGGATCATAAAAAAGCCAGATGGGGGAAAGCTATCCTGCTGTGAGAAAGTTCTTATCTGCTTCATTGAAATAATTGAAAATGGGTTTCTAAATAGTCTGAAGAAGTTCAGTTATGGGCTAAGACCCAATTTTCTTAAAAAAAAAATGGAAAAGGCAAGTTTGAGAAATACTTTAAAATATCTTTGTCCAGCTTTTTGCCCCTGGAGGAGGAAGTGGGAAATTTAGAAAGCAGCACATGTGACAGATGCTGCTCAAGATGCTCAACACATTACTTAAAGATGCTCTGTGACCATCATGTTATGAGTAATAAAAGAATGTGAATGGGATGGAAGAGGAACAGTCCAGATTTACTGTAACCACATCTGTAACCTCAGCACTCTCACATGATGGTCAACAAATTCCTGCCAGTTCCCGGAGTATTCCTAAACGTATCTGGGCAGTGCAGAGCCACATTGGACTGGGGAGCCCTCAGGTTACCTCCAAGTGAGCTGGCATGTCTGCAGTCGATTACCACACAGGGATACCAGCAGCAGTGCCAGAAACAGTAAAGCTCTGTTACTGCCATACATAGTTAATTAGCTCGGGTGTCGCAGCGAGCAAACACAGCTATATTGCTCCTGGTTCTGCACTAAGTTAATTGAGGCTGGCTTGGGGATCTTTGCCCCAATGTGCAGTGCAGACATACCCAGGAATGCACTCCTATTGTTGACTGAATACTGTATTTTCACATAAATGTGGCAGGAATATAATTGCAGGGTGGAAAAAGAAGGCCAATATACATTCGCTTCACTTTAGAAACTAAATTAAACCTTTGACTTAACTCACTTCTATACCAGCTCCCTGCAGGCATTTCTACGGGCTTCATTAGAGCCAACCTAGAGGCCATGGAAAAGGTCTTACAAAAGACTAGCCAGGAAGCCAGTCACAGCCCCAGATCCTGCTGCTACAGAATACAATCTGCCTCTTGGCACCTCAGGCTTGCAGCTGCCAGGCACTCTCCTTATGTGGTCACTGGTGTTGGCTCGGAGGCTGGGGCAGATAGACGAGGAGGGCGAAGGGGGAACACATTCATCACTGCCAGCAGCGAGGGGAGGCAGTGCCAAGTCACTATGTAACCAGGCACATGTGCCAATTTGCTCAGTAATTGGATTGCTATTTGAAAAATTAAAGCGGTGTCTAGAAAATTCTAACCTCTGCGTTTACGGGGATGGAGTTCGCGGCCGAGGGGGCTGAGGAACAGGAAGAGCAGGAGGGGGGATCGAGCGGAGGTGTTTAAGGAGAGCAAATGTAGGAAGTAATTCGATGACTTTCCAGAGCGCTGCAGCAGCCTCAGGAGCAGCCCCTCTGTACCAGAGAGACAAAGAGCGAGACACAGTGCAGTGGGAAGCTGTGACATTATGGACAAGCCGTAACCCGTTGCTTACTACGGAAAATTAGCAAGGACTTGTCAGCTGAAAGCGATTTGTACAAAGGAAACATAATTGGAAGGCCAGGCTTGATATACTTCTGTAATTAATTTTTTCTCTAAGAGAAAAAAAAAACTGTTAATGGGCATTATTTTATCTTTTCAGGGTTTTTTCAGAACCTGTGAATTGTTGCTTCTGTCTACTGTATACATTGCTCTCAAATACATTTGGTGAACAAATCCCATGTGCTAATATTAAGCATAAATGATACTGAATTATCCAGCTACAGAGAGGGTTTCTGACCCAGAAATATGCTTCTGCCACAAATCATTTCTGCTCCCACTGAAGCCAAATTCAGACTTTGCTTTGACTTCAGTGGGAGCATAATTACATCCAAAAATATAGTTACCTAAATAGTCCTTCAGGCATTTCATTATTCCTTGCAGTTGAGCTCACTGGCCACCCTTATTCAGCTGAAAACTTTGAGCATATGGAGATGATAGATTATAAATTGTTCCTAAGATAATATTTGTAGTTTAAAGTATAGTCCAGTTGCTAGTAGCTGTATAAAAGTGGTGCCTGTGTTCTTCATCACTGTTAAGCGGAAATTCAAGCTGGAAGCTCTGTCTTTAAAATAATAAAAAGTAAAAATCTATGGACTCATACTGAGGAAGAACTATTTGGAGCCTCTGTGAAATGTCTGATTATTTCTCATGCACTCAGTCCCGGTAGAATGAGGTTAACACATGTCAAAGCAAAGGCTAAGGAAATTTTGGGCTGCATTTCTGCCCCTAGATGGAGTATTCTGCACACTGGGTTGGGTTTTTTTATATATATTTTGGGAGAATGGAGCTGTGTTAGAGGCCTTGAAATGCCTCTTGTTCTGAATTCCCTTTACAGTGTATCAAGTGCTGCCTGCTGGGACTAGGCTAACTGGGTCCCAGAGATAGAAGAGAAAAATCAAAATAGGGTTTGCTTGTTCAGTTGATCAGATACTGTAAAGGCCACTGCATTTTCTTAGCGTCTCCCATTTGTTGGTTAGCGATAGATATGTGTGTTAAAAAGCAAGAAACCTCTGCTTAACAAAGTGTCACTAATTACTATGAAACATCTGATATTTGCAGCTTGCAGTGCCGAGTATTTCCATGATTTTCATGGTATTCCCTTCTCTTACTATGCTGGGAATGCCATGGTAACCTTAACCACTGGTAAAACATTTTAATAGTGACCACTGTAATATAGTGGTTGTGTGCAAACAGCATGCACCATTGCTTCAGAGGTGTTTGGAACACTTTGTTTTTGTCACAATTGGAGTAAAATGTTGCCAGATTTCAAGAACTGAATCCTAAACTTGCCAAATGGGGAGCTGGAAGCGAGGTCTCCTGTTCTCCAGCTTCTGACTTTGATCACCTCTGGAGTTTCATTGATACATTCTTGCCCAGCACTCACACGCTTAGTGAACCATGGCTCCAGAAAGCAGGGAGTTGCTTGGGAAAAGCACTTGGCTACAGACCCTGTGTTTGGAGGGGGTGGATGGGTGTCAAATTAGAAGCCAGCTTTTGAAAAACCAAGATTGTTTTGTATGTGTGAGAGAGAATTCAGCTGTAGGCTCTTAGCTCAGGTATGTTCTCATGTGGGCTTCTTCTTTGGCCCACTCCAACAGGAGGGACCAGCTGCAAAGTTTGTCCCTGGACTGGGAGCTGAATTCCTGCAGAATCCAGGATTTTAGTTTGGACCTTTTTAGATATGATGTAAATGCCAGCAACTTCCTAACAACTGTTCTTGGAGCTCAGAGCAGAATGTAGAGCAGACCGTTGTGAGTTAGGGGACTGCACAAGATATCCCTTCTCAGAAGAGAAAGAAAAAGCCTGACAAAACCTAAGCCATCTGACTGGAGTCCTGAGAAATGCTTTCCAGCTTTCAAAGAAAGAAAGGGTCTTAATTCAGATTTGCCGGAATCGTCTAATTAGTCCCTTTAATGCCATGCACCTTATAGTCTGTGCCACCGGATTCGTCCTATAAATGAGACGATGGGCTAATTCATCTTGGCAGCAGTAAACAGACCTTGTGATTGTCCCCCTCACAAACACCGGCCTGATTTTAGGAAAATGCTTTGACCAAGCCTGTGTCCCTGCTCCCTCCCCCACCAGCCCCCCCATGCCCCCGCCTTTTCTGAGCGCTGCCTGTGCTTCTTGCCCTCCTTCTTCCCCACCAACCCAACCCACCCCGTCTCACACACAGTGACATACCTCACACATTTGCCACTGCTAACAACAACCTGTCAACTCTTTCTTTGCACCGTGCTAGGCGCCTTTTGTTTCTGCAGCCCAGCAAGCCTTGCAGCTGTTGTCCGAGGCCTGCTCCGACAGCCTGTGATCAGTCAGCTGCAAAATCCTCCCTGAACAACTCGGTATTCACAGCTCTAATCGGGCCAGCGGACTGTTTCCTCCTCTCTCGCAGTAAATCTTTATCACTTGCGCTCTGCTCGTCAGTTCGTGGCGCCAGCTCTTTGGGCTGCTCTATCCCTTTCCCATACTCTGCTGGGCTGTGTGCTCTGAATGCTAACTCCAGCCTTGTTTAGACTCTGTGCTGCCTCAGTGCTGCAGTCCACATGTTGGGAAGGTCGGAATTCCTGCTGCCTCCCCGTCTTTCAGGCTGTGAATGCGGTGAATGCGCGTGGGGTTTGTATCTCTGCGAAGGTGAAGATATCAAAGGCTCCCTCCCTCCCTCGGCCCGTTTCATACTTTGTCCATATAAGTTAGTTGTGTGATTGTCTTTCTGTTTCCTCCCAGCAGCCTGTTGTGCTTCTGCTTAAGAGCTGTCTTTGGTAAGAAGGTGAGGGTGAGCTGCCCAGCCTACAGAAGCTGGTGATGGCAAGGGCAAGCCTGGGGAAACTGGCACAAGCCTTAATTTGATTGCATGCCCAGGGCTATTAACCCTCCTCCTAATGATCCCCCCGCAGATGGAAACACATTTCCCTCCATCCTGTCCCTGACTTGATGCCATCACAGTCTTTTAAAATGTTTACATCAAAGGTGTTGAATTGTGAAGCAGATTTTTAGAAAAAAAAGGGATCGAAGTTTGCTGCCTTATTATCCCAGCTGAGTTGGGGAGAGTCTATGGAGAGTTTAGGGTGAGGTTTCTGTCAGTGTGGAGTCACTGAGGATTTACACTGGTGGAGCTGAAAGCACAACTTTATCTGTGCCTGTTGCTGCGTATGATACAGCGTGGAAACCCCTCCTGCCTCCTTTGGGAAAACATTGAGGGGTTTATTTCCCTGTGTGCTGTGTTTGGGCCTAGGGTTGTAGATGGCAGCATAATTAAAGCCCAGTTAAACAGCACATTTTGCGAGGAGACTCAACTAGATCTTAAGCAAAGCTTGCTGGAGATCACTTTAAAGGAATAAATTATTCAGGACAGCGAGGGTTATTTCTGTTTATAAGGAACCTGGGAAACTTTTGTCTGAACACTGACATGAAGACCAAAACGTAGTGGGTTTTGGTCTTGTCTGTGAAACTGAAAAACCCATTTCTCTTTCTGCATCAGTTTTCCTTCCTCACCTTGAAGTCTTGGTTTCAGCTGTTCCAAGTGTGTGTGTGTGTGTGTGCATATGTATGCAGGGGTGAAGATTAACCAAATACAGAAATTCCTTAAGGAGTACAGTATGAACTGACTTTAAAAATACATTGTTTCTGTTAGCTTTTAAGAGGCATCTGTCAAATAGATGCAGCTTGGACAATCAGGCTTCATTTCCACTCGGGCTTTCTATGCCTCGGTTTCTCATCAGTATATCTTTGGTCAAAGATAAGTGTGTGTATATGGGATTATTACAGTTTTGGCGTTGCATTGGTGGTCAGGTTGAGTCTGTAAGGAGATGCCCTCCCGCCATGCTCCTTGGTGTGCCCTTTGTAACCAGCTCCCACTCACTTCCTGGTGGGATGTGTTTTGTCCCTGTGTAAACAGAGCTATAAAATCTATTTTAGGTTTGATTTGGGAAAATAGCTCAGATTTTGCTGGTATTTGCCACAGAAGTGCCTTTCTGTCTCAGTGTGTTCTTCGGTGAACATGTGAGAACAGGATTTGAATGCTGACTCTTTCTCTGTCCGTAAAGGCAGGAGCGGAAATATGATCTTCAATAGCATGGAGTATCCCATAAATAGGCTGATTATACAAGCTCATGGAATAGAATCCTAAAGTAGTTTGGGTTGGAAGGGACCGTTTTTTTTTTCTGTCAAATAGCAACCTACTGGATGTGGTTATTTTGTGATAGGGTTGACTTTGTTTTATAAAACACTGGTGCTTCACCATGCTCTGGAAGAATGGCATGGGCAATCCACCTGCTGTCCTCTGCACAAAAAGCAGTTGGTTTTGAAGTGTTCCCAAAGGACTTGATGTCCTTTAGACATCCTTGCAGTTCCTAATTATTTATTTGTTTGTTTGTTTGTTTGTTTGTTTGTTTATTTTTAGAAAACTCATGGTGGCTAGAATGTACATGTGACCTGATATAGTGGAGGGAAATCTTTCAGCTTTAAATTGCAAAGGAAGATTCTAACAGTCTGAACTGAAAGTGAATGGAACAAGGAGAAGACTTTCTCAAAATAACAACAACAACAATACTTATTAGTGTTCTTAGTGTTATTTAAACTGTCCACGTGCCCTGGTTCTCCTGATCTGCTGATGTTTGTGCCTTGAAGTGAGGGGGTTTTTGAAGGATGCAGCTGATGCTTACCTTGGTATGGTTCTAATTCTTTGGTGCTTGGTGATGGGGGCTTAGGATGGTTAATTAGGACAATGTCTGGAAGTTATGACATGAAGTTTTTATCTGTTCTTTTCCTCAGAACTTTGTGCCACAGAGGAAAACTCACAGGAGGCAAATATTTCCAACAGGAATGTATTGTTCTTTGAAGAATCCTATCTGAGTTCTTTTGTCTTACAGGGGTAAGTTCAGTCTTTCTTCATTTTCACCCAGACCACAATAAAGACTTTGTACTTTTTTCTGTTTAGTGGCTGCAGGAAGAGGGCTCGTTCATGGCTCTGGGATAAAGAGGATGAGCAGAATTTGAGAACAGCTTGTCTGTTCCCGTTCCAAATTGAAAGTGGACTTGACTTACTTTTCCAGGATATTTTATTACTCTGCTTTTTTTTATTTTTAAGGAACAATGTCAACTTTTTCCCTAGCTCCTCCTACATCTGTCTTCTAAGATAATCTCAGACCCCAACATCTCTCTGTTTGATTTTTTTTTTTTTACAGAGTTATGGATAATATGCTTACACAGTAATTCCATTTTAAAATAGTCTTCTAGTCTAGGAATTTTCTTGTCTGATTTGCCTCAGACTTTCCAGAAAAATTCTACCTTGGCTTGAAGTTTGCACCTGGGAAAGTTCAAGGAAATCTGTTTAACTTTTGCTCTATGAGGAAGGGATTCTGCCAAAATTAAGTTTTTTATGAAAGGCTAGTGGAAGTACGGATAGACTAGTTTTGTCATTACTAGGCAGTATTAGTGTACAATCAGTCTCATCAAGAAAAAATATGACTAAATGGATTTTATGTTCCTTATAAAAATGATTTTTTTGTTTCTTCTTTGGCTGCTCAGGGTAGAATGCTTACTACTAATCCATCATGTTTAATTTTGTGAGTCACTTCTTGTGTGCACATTTCCTGTACATCTTGAACAAAACCATGCAAAAAAGATGAGCAAAGAATTAGGAGAAAATTATAAATGGATCCATGTGACTGCCTTTTCTACAGATATTTTTTTTTTCTTCCCTTACTTGAGAAGTAAAGAGGGAATGCAGGCCCATGCAGTGTTTGTTAAAGCTGATGGAATATCTTTCTCCCTCTGGGTATTTCTTTAATCAATGTTTCTTTATACCATTAGGTCATCTCCTCTTTTTTTCATGTTTTTTTTTCTTTTTTTTCTGAAGAAGCCTTGTTTTGTACATTTCCGTACATCTTGACGTTTATTCTCAGAATTATGGCCTGATCACTTCCTCTCTTTTCCTCAAAATTTCTCTCGTTTTTATCTATTTTAAGTGCCAGAGCACAAAGATAACCCCATCATAGTTCTCTCATTTTCCCCAGTAGTTCCCCCCCCGCCTCTCCCCCGGCCTTTCCCTCCCTGCAATGAAAAAAATGAAAGGTCTCATGGTCTTACAGATTTTCTTTATGCTTATTTTGGCCTACTTGCAACCCAAATACATCATCACGCTATAAGACGGCTCTCTAAGGCTCTTGGATCAATTAAAGGTAGCCCTATTCATTGCCAGTACAAACCTTTGCCTATTAACTCCTTCAAAGGGCATTTGTCATCTCAAAAAGCTGTGAATGCCGTCTGGGTACATTGATTAAAAAAAGGTATTGTTTTAAGGCTGCTGAATATCTTAATTAGTTGTAATCAGAGGGTAGCTTGTGTCTGTGAAGTGATACAGTTACCTTTCACCCACTAGCTTCATTTTCTGTGGTTTTAAAAGGGGGAAAATAAAAATAAATCTCAAATGTACCTCAAGAATACTGTTCTTAGGGTACGAGAGGAGCGCACTTGCTGATCAAACTGTAATTTATGACGTTATTTTGTAAAGGCAAATATTGAATGTGGTAACCCAGAATGCATCTCGTTGGCCTACGACCAGCCAAGAGCGGGTAAGTGGAGCTGCTCGCTGCCAGCAATCGTCCTCCTTTTCTTCCCTCAGAAATCCAGGGTCTGTGTCCTGGAAATGGAGAAATCTACCCCAGTTCTTCAAGTGCTTGCACGTGTGCTGAGCTTGAGCCCGTGAATCATCCATTAATGCCGGGCTCACACAGCCCTGTTTGGCGCATCAAGGTAGAACAAGGTAACATTTTTTCAGATCAGTGGTTCATTTTTGCCACAGTTGTCTAAAATGATATGGAGCTATTTATGAATGCATCCAAAAGCTCTGGAAAATAGTTTTAGCTGGGAAAATGCCTTGTTCTGCTGTTCACTGAATCAAAACGTTTCTTTTAGTAGTTAATCGTAAAAATTTGTTCTCTATCTAAGGAGAGACCCTTTTGAAAATGAAAATCAATAATTTTTTCTTCCTTGGGCCTCATGAAAAGTTTTGTTGGTACATATTGCTTTCCTGGTTTATTTTTCTGAGAAAACAACACAGTTTATATTTCATTTAAATACATTTTACTCAAATCAAATGTTTTTTTTATGTACATCTAATGGAGGCATCAGGGTATAGGCAGAACCCTTCCAGTCATGTCTTGATGGTGCAGCAATGGCTTTCATCCTTTGCCCCCTGCTCTCTGGAGATGCATTTCCGGAGGAGATGATTTGGGGATATATATGTTTTCTTTCCATATTTTTGCAAATATCTTCTTACAGGTCGGAAAAAACACTTGACCAAAAAAAATCTAAGTCACACTTGGTAAAATGTGTGCTTTTGTGCTTGATTAAGATGCTTATAGTGATAATGGTAAATAGCATTTAATTTGTTTCATTGTGGAAAAGGAAGGGGACACAAATGGTGGTTTAGAGGGAGTCCCCCTTTATCTGGGACAATTATCTGGGACAAAAATTCTTTAGAAAACAACTAACACACTAACCACGTGTATCAAACTGCTTGTGCAGTTTGGTCACCTGGAAAGCAGGGCAGTGCCATGGCTGGGAACCAGCAGACAAACGAATCCCCGACACTCACACTCAACCTGTGGCTTGCTTGGTGAATTTTATTACAGGAAATCCAGGCATGCACAGATTCTCAAGGTAACGTGGCAAAATCATGTAAATGCAAGTGGTGCTGTGCTCAGTCTCTTATTTTTCAGTGGATAAGTGTACTGGACAATGGGTGGCTGGAAGTTAGAATATGTTTATGATTTACCTATTTTTTTTTTCAGAAGCCAAGATTATACATGCTCTTCTATCACAGGACAGTTTCACTCTACATGCCTAGATTCTGCAAGAAGTACTTCATCTGTTGGGGTTTTTTTCTAATTTTATTTTTACAAAAATGCTTCAGAAAATCTAGTTCTATCTTCAAATCTCTGTGTAGACAAGAAGCTCTCAGAATCTCTATTTCACAGGTGAGGAAAAACAGTCCGATCAAGATTAAAATCCCAATTCAAGGAAAAGCAGAAACTTAAGCACATCTTTTAATGTTCCTGTGATTTTGGCATAAACTATTGTGAATAGTTTCTCTGGGATGCTGTCAGAGGTGAAAATAGAATATACTTTGAGTTGCAGACAGTACCTCAGCGGACACAGGAATTTTTCGCTTTATACTTGCTAAAAAATGTGATGCATGGGATGGTCACACAGGAGAGAGATTTATTTTTCTAGTTGGTTTTTTAATTCAGTGGTTCATATACTATGGTATTGAAGCTCATTTTGGTGTGGAGATCCATGCAGCTCTGAACTTTTCCTTCAGATTTGTAGATTTTCACGGAAGCGTGTGGTATCTTTTCTTTGGTCAGGTGCCTTGAAAATAAACTGGGAGAAATAAATAGGCACATTTCTACTGTGGCTGTGATAAGCATATGTATATATATAATGGTATTGTGTGTCTTGCTCTACATAACATTTTTAGGTGTCTGTGCAAGTAGGAGATTTATGAAGTGTGACTCGTTTTTCCTTCTCCCCCCTGTTCCAGTGGAAGAGCTCAGACTGCGATGAGAAAAACTAGTACACGTTATTAAGAATTCTGATAAAGTAGGCTGAATAAATTTGTTTTCTTTGTGAGCCTTAATCCTGTGTTGTATTGGCTTCTTGGACATGGCTAATTTATTTGGAATTCCATTCTGTTCCCGACAGCATTCCTGATTAGCAGTTTGATCACCCGGAGCAAAGTTACATACCAGCTTTCAACTCTTGTAATCTAGCAGTGTAATTTTTTCAAATGGACTCTTTTCTTTCCTTCTTTGCCCCAGCTCCCCTTCTTTTTGTGTGCAAAGGGACTTTAAAAGTAAGCAGGATAACCTGCTAGTAGAATGAAAAACTTCTTCAAAACACAATGTAGTTTGCTGAATGCCCGGCTTTCATTTTTAAATAGAAAAATGAGGTTTGGAGCTGTGTCAGTGCAGCATGTGAAATGTTTACCTTCCATCACGCACAGAGGATAACGGTTCTTTTCAATGACTGCGTTTTAGGGGTGGTGTGATATAATCTTCAAGTTCTTTCCAAGGTCTGCAGTTTGCCAAAGCACATTTTGCTTGTGATAAGTTTAAGAGAGTTTAAATTGTTGTTTAGTAAAGCTTTTCACATCATGGACCTTGTAGGAAAATGGCAGTTGTGTCATTGTTTACTTCCATCTAAACTGGCTTATGCTGTCAAAACAAAGGATGCACAGGAACCCCAAATTTAATTGTAAACCAGAGGCAGGTTTTGATCTGGTTTTGGTAGAGCACAGGAGGAGCATCATCCGAGTGAAACCAGAGGAAATGGAGCCTGCAGCAGCCCCCCAAATCTGCCAAAGGCGTGGAGTTACAGAAAAGAGGAAAGGGAGTTTTCCGTCCTGTGACATTTCTGGAGGTCCCAGTCTGGTTTGTGTACAGTGAGAAGGAAAAAAAGGTTTTTAAGTCAAGAGAGATGTGGGAATAGCCCAGAGATAGGTGACCACAGCACTTGTCAAAAGACTCAAACTGTGGTTTTATGCATGAGTGCCTTGGCTGTATAATGTTTGGAGAGTGTCTGTTTTGTACTGATCTTGAATTTAATGGATCTGAAAAGCAGCTCTTGACAAATATTTTGTCAAAACTGAAGCACGTTTGGCCAGACTTCTGTGTTTGAAAAACTGGCATTTCGGTTGAAACACTGTTTTGTCCAAAATAATACTAATCAAATTCTCTCCTGAATTTATGTGAACTACTCAGCTATTCTGAACTTTGTAACATGTATCCTAAATATTTGTTCTAGGCTTTTTCCTTTGAGTTACTAAATATGTTTGTATTTTTATGTTTGTTCACAATTAGGTGGACATTTTGGATATTATAAAACTTTTAATTGATTGATATGACTAAGTATCAATGGCATATGTGTGATCTATTCTGCTACTACCAGGTCATGTTCTAATCACATTCCTAGGAAGAAATTCCTGTAAATGAAAGGGAACCAAAATATCTACTCCTAAGCATTGCCACATCCAGCAGCATATGGAGGTGATCATGGAATGACAGCTCCATAACTGCAGAGGTCTCATCAAGTCTGTATTTTGAAATACAGATGTCTTCAGGTAATGACTTTTAAGACTGATTTATAAGTTTTTGCTTCATTTTCTCCTAACCCTTTCCCCTCATATTCATTATGGGGTTTTTTTCCCTGCAATCTGTGCTCTTTCTTTTGCGATCGAATTTCAGTTTTGACTGTGAGGCCTTTGAGGATGAGCTGGAGTTTTACAAATACTTCTGGTTTTATGGACACTGAAATTAGTCTTGAGGGAAGAAATACGTAATAAATGTAGTAACTTATTTCTGTCCTTGTTTTTCTTGATCATGGAAATGGGCATGTTGAACTAACTGTGGTGGGATTCTGCTGGGGATTTTCCAGTAGAAAACCAGTGGGGCAGGTGTTGGCTTTGCTTTGGCTCAATGCAACACGGAATGATCTTGATATGTGCGTGTTATCACAACTTATTTGAAGCAGGAGTTGGCTTTGAATGTCAGGTTTTGTCCTCTAAAGCTGTGAAGACCTTGATCTGGCTCTTTTGAACTGGCATTTTGTTTCCAGTGTGGTGTGGAATGCTTGTTCAGGAGATTTCACATATGCAAACTGGAGCAAGGTGCCTTTTTGACTCTGATAACTGTAGAAGGCACATGATTCTGAGAGATAAGTGCTGGTCTTGAATTTTTCTATTTCTCTTAACAAAAGAGCTGGGAACTTCTTGTTAGCCATGCCAACTACTGCAACTCTTTGCTGTTTCCATTTGTAACATATCCTGAGTTTTGAATGCGTGGCAAAATGCAGTAAGTCACATATTCTATTTTTTAATTTTAATTTATTAATGTTTCGGGATATATTTCAAACTGATGAGAACAGGGGGTGTTTTATGATTGATTATTGTTGTATTCTCTGCTTTGTCACGTGTAACTTCACTTGATATTTTGAAATTTTAGGAATGTGGTGATATTTTAGGAGATGGACTGCTTTGTAGGGGAACTGGAAAATTAGATGTGAAACCTGTTGCCTTACATTTTAAAGTCAACAAAACTGCATAATACATAATTATTTTTGCCAAACTACCCTTCAATGGGCACTGATTACCAGGATAATTATGTACTAATTTAAAGGCAAAATATGGAATTTTAAACATAGTTCCAAATTAGAGGATTTTTTAATAAATAGTTGTAACAGAACAGGGTAATAATGTTGGTTATGTGATGAAAACATATGTTAGTAATAAAATATCACCCATCAGGAATACTGTTCTATCATGCCATTGCTCTCTAGGGAGATGACTAGTTGAGAAGTGATTTTAACAAAATGAACTCTGAATAGAGAGGATGCTTTTATGGGTGATACCACACACATTCTTCAAAAAGGCAAATCACTAAAAAAATGGTGCCAGGAACATCTGTTGTGTGAAAAAGTAAAATTTTGGAAAATCCAAATAGTGATTATCAATATATAGGCTTTGCATAGTCCTTTTCCTCACTCATTCCCAAAAGGCTCTACAAAGAAAGGAAGAACAGCCATCCGTGTTAAACCGCGTTTTCCCAAACCCAGCCGTGCCAGTTTTCATCTGGCGCGTAGATTCGTCTTGCTTGTGCTGTGCCACGGATTTTCTGTGGGAGGAAATCTGCCCTAAGAAGTGAAATCCAAGCAGGAAAGCGCTGTCCTTCCATGCCCAGCAGCATTCCTCCGTGTGAACAAACGCAGTCCCGCCGGGGAGTGCCAAGCCGACAGCCGTGGCATGCGGAGCTGCCATTCCCCGGCTTTGTGTGAGCCTGTCCCCAGCCTGTCCCGGTGCCAGGCGCCAGGGATGTGCGCTTTCTGTTCCGGCTTTGACACCTCTCAGGGAACACAGGGCTGAGAAGCACTTGTGAGCCCCGGGGAGGAGGCACCTGTTCACTTGGCACCGGGATGAACCCCCCAGTTCATTCCTCGCGTGCCCTTAAGTAGCCGCCGGGCTTCTGTCTGCGGATGGATTGGGCTGGAGCTGGTGGCCAGGGCATGGGATGTGCTGGATTACGTGACAGCCCCGCTAGCTCACGTGGGAATTGGTTAAAATCCTGCTGGTGGTTTCCAGCAATCCAGCAGGATTGCACCGGGGGGAAGGAAGATGGTAGTCACCAAAGATGAACTTTCAGGTGGACCCAGTGACATCCATCCAGGTGGACAGATATTGCTTTTCTGGGAAAAGGCAGATGTCATTGCCTCAACCAATACATTTGCTATTTTATGTTATTAGCTAATTATGTATTACTACTATAATTATTATGTTACTGGCTAATGTTATTAGCTGTTATTTTACAGCTACGAAGTGAGCCAGCTGCCCAAGTGAGTATGTAATGTAGAGCCCCTGGCTGGAGCTGGCAGTGGTTGTGTTGTAGCAGGTAGAGCCACTGAACAGTTTGTCAAACTGTTTTTCCTGCTGAAATCCCCTTCAGGTGAGATGATGATTTCCTTTCTTCTCATCTGTGTGGAGGTTGGTGTCTTATAAAAAAAAAAAAAACAGGTTAGAGAAAGAGCTGTCAGGAATGGTGTAGTTGATCTTGCTTTAGGGCAAGCTGATAGACCTTTTGGGTCCCTTTCATCCTTTTTCCTATGACTGTAGGTGGCCCCGGTAACATATATATGTGTAGATATATTTGTTCTCTCCGACCTGCTGCATTTTTTCAGCAAAATTCTTTGCTAGTTGAAAGGAGCAGTCCCTTTAAACTCAGCATCTTTTGAGATCTGTAGGTATAAAAAAGACACTCATTGTTCAGTGTACCTCCACAAAGATTCCTTCTTAATCCTGACTGTGTGTACCCATCCCTTGGTTGAGCCTTCCCATGCAGAGGAATTTGAGTGGATTCACATTCCTTCATAAATGCATGTAGGGTAATACATCAGGCTTTCTTTCCCTCTGAGCATTCTGATCAATTCTGACACTTTCCAACTCCATTAAAAAATCCGTGTGGTAGGTGAGAGAACCCATTAGTGCAAAGAAACTCCTGAAACCCCTCAGAGTATTTGCTTTGCTGTGCCATTTAACTGTTTACAAAGCCCAGGGTTTTGCTTCTGATACACAGTCAATAAAAGGGAACAGGCTATTTTTATTTTTAATTGCAATGTAAATGTATGTGTTGGCCTTGTAGAAGGCAATGTGTTGACTCTCATGAGGTTACCCCATTCAAGGACAAATTTGACCAGAAAATGGTACTTTGAGAGAATATTGGCAGTCAATATTTTGGTATGACATTTGGTTTAATCCAGAATTTCTGAAAATCAGGGAAGCAGCCAGGCTATTGCTTGGGCCACATCCAAGTCCTTTCACTTACTGCTGATCCTTCCCGTTTCTGCCTTCACAGCTCTACTTGTCCAGGTCCAGGCAAGGAATTGCTTAAACATCTATAAAAGTTCCTTGTTTTCTTCTTGAACTGGATCCTGGAGTTGCACTAATTCTGACGAGGCCTTGGCATCAACAAGGACCCCAAGGTATTACTGAACCTATTCCCTGATTTTAAAGGAAAAAGAATGTAGAATTCCCAAAGCTTTACGTGTCTGAATCAGGCTCTCATTTCTTTTTAGGCGGAAAGTGCGGTTTCTGGGGAAAGGAGCTTGCTGGTGGAGTAAGTTTGAAAAGATCGTAGCAGTTCCAGTAATTACTCATTTCATCAACCCATCTATATTTAAAGTGAGCTAAACCGAGTTCTTTCCTACAATGTCTCCTTCAAATAATGCTGCTTTACATTTGGAGAGCCAAATAAGGAAATAGAGCATAATCCTACAGAAGTTTCTTTCCCCTTTAGTTCCTACGGCTCAGGGACTTGCTGTAACGAGAGCACTTCTTTCTGTGAAAACCTTTTTAACACATTCAACTAAACAAACTATCTCCCAGAGAAAGCAGGAGCGTTTTTTTTGTGTGTGTGCTTTGCTCTAACCTTGGCTCTCGAGGACATTTCTGTCGATGCACTAAATGAGCGATGCATTTTGGACAGCTTCTGTGTTCTGATTTGTTTTCTTGTGCTTCTTTTTTTTTGTCTTTTTTTTTTTTTTTCCCTCCCCCTCCTCTCCCTCCCTTCTTCCCCTTTTCATTTGTCTAGGGGGAAAATAAAAAAAAAAACCACGCTCCTCCAGTGTTGTTTCCTGCAAAGACCATTCTTAAGAGCTCGTTGGACAGCGCAGGACTCTTGAAGTGATAGCTAATTGGTGAAAGAAAGGCCCTGATTGTCTTGAGGGAGCTGGAAAGTGCTGCGTGTGCTGCTGAAAGGGACTAGGGAGAAGGTGCCTGGTTTCGCTGAGCAGCTGCTGTTGGAGATGTTTGGAGATTACATCAGCATTGGAAAAAAGGGGCAAAAAAAAAAAAAAGTCCAACTTCACAGAGACGGAGTTTATGGAGGTTTTTTTTTTTCCCCCCCCTTCCAAAGGTCTTCTGACAATACTGTCATTGTCAATATAAGAGTTGTTAATTCTTTATGAATAGCACATGGGGCCTCTTGACTAAATAGTACGTTACATGTCCCAAATCTGTCAGCTGGACTCTTCTCTCACATGCTAGTGAGATCACTTTGATTGGAATGTCAGAGGAATTGCTGGGCTGGCCATGCAGAACTGAATACTGCATTATATAATTAGATCTCCCAGAGTATTTTTTTTCACATTACCTCATTATTCTAGCTTAAATATGGAATCAGCCCTTTTGATGATTTTGCTGGTTGTAATTATATTAATACGATTCATTTTGTGGTCCTGCCTTAGTGCTTATATAGATTATAAACTGTCCCGAAGGTTTCCTGACACAAGGAAAGAGGACTGAGAGACTTCAAAAGGCTTCTTCAGATTTGAATTGACAATGGGGAGAGCTGGATAAGGTAAATGGAGCTAGAACAGCTCTTACCTTGGGATCTGATGAGAGAGAAATGACGTGTCGAGATTGCAACTGAGTGAAGATTCTTCAGAAAGCCACGTGCTGACAGAGGGGAAGGAGTGACAACTGACTGAGTCAAATGACTTCCTCTCCAGCTTGGGCATGGATTTACTGTTGGGAACAGACTTGTGGACTTTTGCCAATTAAATGATTTGGACGAGCTGGGGGGAATCCTATTGCTGGGCAGTCCAAGAGTGCCAGTGGCCCAACCTTGATACATGAGATGTGGTGTGTGGTGCTTGCTCTGCACGTTCAGGTGTCAGCTGACGTGGAGTGAGTTCTGACACCAAAGCCCTGCAAGGTACCTTCACTTCCAGCCTTAAATAAGGACCTTACTAGGACATGGAAGGATTTGACTGCATGCCCAAGGCCATAGTGACTTAGGATTTTTTGGTTAACTTACCTTGCAAAAGGAAATAAACTGTTCCAAGCAAACTGTCTCCTTTTAGATGGGTGTTATATTAAGCCAAACATCCTATATCTTACTACATACCCAACTCAATTTGACATCTGCTTTCAAGAACTGAATATTCTACAGTAAAAATAGAAAGACTGTATTGCTTTGCCTGAGGCCCAGTCACCTTTCTTTTTTAAACAAAAAAAAATAAAAAGTTCTTTTTTGTTTGATAAATTTCCATGTCATGTAAAAGTGAAGGTTGCCACTTTGTGTACTTAATTCTGTATCTCTTGGTAGCTCACATGATGATGTCAGAGTTCAGCTACAGTATTCCCATCCAAATTTTCTGGCCCATTCATGACTCTTACCTTCCTCATCATTAATAACTGTTAATCAGCCCTTATCATTTTGTGTTTTGAAGCCTCCTAAAACTCAGACATGAGAACTGGGCTGTGCTTATGCAGCAGAACAGGGTAAATGTCAGGTCAATTGATTTCAGCCTCAGATTTTATTTATGGTGGATGACCAATGTACTAAACAGCCTGCAATGCCTGAAATGCATGTCATTGACTTGAAATCCAGCCAGATGACAATAAATTAAATGTAGATGGAACTAACCCCTTGTCTGTATCTATGGTTCTTAATTTTAATGATGATTTTTTATTTCCCAACAGCAAACCAGACCACAGAGGGAAAGTGAAATATTGTCTATTTGAAGATATACCTTTGATAATGAGTGACTGGAAGAACAGGCACAGTGATCCATTTTTCTTCTTTCAGTTAACCATCCCTATTCTTTGCTGTTTTGGGCAAAACCAAGCTTGTAGATAAATTGATAGTGCCTTTAAGAAACAAGTCTTCTAATTCTTTATTGCAGAATTACTTAAGCAATTATTTAATTAAAGAATAAAAACAATTTAAGTGTTTAAGGGCCCTTTTAAGTGATTTGAAAGTGTCTATTAGTATTTCCTGGTGTAATTTAACCATATTCATTTTCATTAGGGAAAATGTAATATAAATATAATATTTTCAGTTGCTATTCTTTTTCAGATATAAAAGATTGTGCCTATGCTTAAAAATCCCTTTCTGTTTCCTGAAAGGGGTGCAGCAGAAGAAGAAACTTTGGATAATAACTGCTTCATGTCAACTAGTTGTGGTTTATTTAAGATCCAACTTGAAGCCCATACCTTGGTGGAATTTGAATGGGCTTCACTGGAAATCACTTTGGAGTCTTTTAAAATTCATTCCATTTCATTTAGTATTTAAAAGATACTTATGCCCTGCTGATTTTTTGTGTGTTTAAGGATGTGTTTAAAAATAAGCACATGTTTAATGTCAGCTTTGAGCTGTGGACAGTGTGAATGAAGATTGCAGTGTGGAGCCCCCTTTCAAAACATGACACAAAGGTAAGTGTAAAGAAAGAGAAAAATAGTAGTGAAATTAAAATCCTTCCTAATGTAAAATAATTACGTTTTATATACATAGATTAAAGTCCACTGCATATAAATATATTCTGTATATATTATGTCTATATTGTATATTATGTTATGTATTTATTAATTATATCACTGACATGCTAAACAGTGGCCAAAATTACCATGTTATCCATAGGGAAGGAACTCCACTCTTTGCTTTAAGTCATTAAAGAAGAACCTCTAAAACAGGGTTAGATTCTGTTCTGATTTATTTTGGAAAATCAAAGTTTTGGGACTCCACCAACAGACAACCCTACAGATTTTTGCCTCCCAGTGTGTTTGATAGTGCAGTACCTTTGTAACCAACCAGCAACACTGACCTGTTGAGGCACTACCAAAAGCAGGTGTAATTACAGCAGTTTATAAACCACTTGTAGTGCAGTTAAACTCTCTCATATTCCATTTCCTTTGTGTGAAATTATTTCTTGATGTATTTTTTTTGCTTATCTAGTAGTCTGTCCATCTCTCTCTCTCTCTCTCTTTATATACATATATATATATAATACATTATATTTTTACATATATACCAAATATAAAACTGGATGATGTATGGATGCAGAACTGTTACTGGGATATTGTGACTGTAGGGTCATTATGTTTATAGGATAATGCTTAGGTTTGGGTTTAGCCTGTGATTTGAACAAAAGTATAAAGTAACTAGTATAAAGTACTAGTTCTCATTTGGTGAGTACTTTAGGAAGGTATCTGAATTTCCTCCTCCATAAGACCATTGTTACAACAAAAATCTACCTTAGAGGCGATGTCAGGGTCAATTTATACATGTTGTGGGGAGTTTATGAACTTTGGCTTTTCACACTTGACAGTTCAGATAAATGTATAGGCATGTGCGTACATGTATATTTTCGTTTAAGAATGTTAATATTTGAATACCTTGTGTTTACAGCCCTCCCCACTTCAAGCTGCTCAATCTTGTGTAGCTCTGGAAGAAAAAACCCACAGATTTAAGTGCTTAGGTAGCTGACGTCACAGAACGCCGCTTGTGTTGGAATGTGTTGATTTAGGGTGACTGTTTTCATGGTACCAATAGAAACAAACTTGGTCCCAAAATAAATAGCCATTTTCAAGTTCCACAGCTGATAATTTTTTTTTTTTTTTTAACATGGGCTCAAAATCTTGCTGAGCTGTAAAACCTCACCTGATTGTAAATATCCCGTTATCTGCGAGTGCGATTTCTGTCCCACGTCGTGTGAAGTGCATAAAAATTGGCATTGTGGACTGCATCGTGGTATGGAGAACTAATTACAGATAAGCTCATGGTCATCTGAGCATGTAATTATATTTATTGATTAAAATAATTCCACAATTTTATTTTGCAGTGCCATTACACTGGTATCTGTTTAAACAATTACTGTCAAACCCCGTAAACCCAACTGCAGAAGGACTCCCTTCAATGCATCTGGTGATGCAACAAGTGGCCTAATTACTTTAGGTAGGTCCATTACAACAAAATTCGGAGTGGAGAAGCTGAAGAACCCAAGTAGGGCTACAATTCTGTTGGCTCTTGCAGGAGGAATCTGAACAGCTGGGGGGCCCAGTCACCAGTTGCTTACACGGAACTGCCACATCATCAGCTGAGGCTTGGGGGGAATAGTGGAACCAGCACTGCTCCCCAGGCCCATGGTCCATGGCACAACCCTGGGGAATGGAAAAGTATTGTTGGGGTGTCTCTGTCTGGATTTGTGTAGGCATCAGATTGGTGGACAATAAAATGGCAAAAGTCTTGTCTTGGTCAGAGTTGCTCCATAAATGCGGTTGGGTTGTCACTAAAGTGGGTGATCTTAGAGGGTGACACTTTGACTCTGCAGGCAGGGCTTGTAACATCATCTCTTACTAAGGCTGCCAGGCAACTTCTGGTCCTAAAGGCCTATTTTCAGCTGTTCACAACTTTGTCAAAGTAGCTTTTCAAACTAGATTTTTTCCATGTTGCATTTGGTGTCTACCTGCAGCTGAGTTCCCTTCAGAAAGTTTCAGCCAGAACAGTTTAATGTCTTCCAAGAACAAGATTAGACAAAAATATTGTTTTACCCATGCTACAAAAATATTGGCAATGTTTGTTTTGTTTTGTTTTAATATGTAGTTCTACTCTGGGAGATAATTTTTGCTCGGCCCCACCAGGGAGATGCAGCTCCTGTTTCACATGAAGAAAATGATGTAGGTACCTGCCACAAATTCAAGGGGTACAAGATCAGATCTGATGAGGGCTGGAAGCAAAACCTGCATGGAAGGGGGCAAGTACTGGATTGATTGGTGAGTGAGGGAGGAGACAGACCAGATGGAATTAGGATAGTTTGGACTAGCAGACAGGGCAAAAGTGGAGTCTGGAATACATGACCTAAACAATTCTATGATAAGACTGAAATCAGGAGGCTAAGACTTATTTAGTGAAGTGATTTGACTTGGAATAAGGAAGTCCATGGAACTGTCAAAGGGATAAGAGTTGAATAAAAAGTTTGCTGGATCACTTTCCTTTTAAAATATTGATATAAATCCTGGAACTTTTTATCCTTTTTTTGACTGTCAACAGATTTCTGTGAAATTTGCTGTCAAAAACCCTTCTGTCCCATCTACCTCTCAACCTCCAGCAGAAAATGCTCTGGATCTGTGAACTCCATATTTCTTAATATGATGTAACAAATTGGAGCACTGACATAGAGGCAATAATAGAATTGAGGCTTTATATGCAGTTTTTGCTCTGCTCCCTGAGTGTTATGACAGGTTCTTTTGCTCATTTGTTGCACAGGATGAAATTCTCTGGGAAGGAAGCTTGCAGGAATAATGCTTTGAATACTCAGAAGTGGGGAGATGGAGTATGAAAGGCAGAGCTCTAGGAAGACTAAAGTTTTGAGGAAATTAATTCTGTTTTCATCTGTCATTGAGTTGTAATTGGAAACAGAAATATGTATTCTTTGCTTTGTGTCACTTTACCTTTTGCTTTGTCTCTTTACCTAATTTGCTTATGGGCCGGGCACCCTAAACTGCAGATTGTCAGGTTAACAAATAAACTAGTACCAGTTTAACAAACTAACTGGTACACTGAGAATTCAAATTCTGAGAGTCTGAAGTGAGACATATAAAATAACTAGATGCAAAAGGAGCAATTCTTTTGTACTTTGGTCTCTTCTTGCAAAATGAGATAATGTGGACATGAAAAAAGTGTTAATTAACGTCTGCAAAACACATACACTTTAAAGGACATTCAGGAGGAAATTAATTAAGGACTAAATGCTGATAATGAAGAAAACATGAGAACTAATTAAGCAGGCACTGTCCATCCGGTCCGGTGAATGTGGCAGGAATATCTTGGAAAAATAATATACTTGGCAAATGAGTACAACAAAATGGAGGGAAATTAACTTTTCCTCCCCGTGTGTTGTAGAAAAAAACAATTGTTACTTCTCTCTAAGGTGCTAGTGAGTGGCCAGATATGTGTAGTACCACTTAGTTTCTAAACTCTGTTCACAGTTGACTGTTTCATGGATGCAGAGCTTCCAGCACTGAGATGTGAGTGCTCTGGGTGTATGCAGAAATTTAAAAAAAATAGTGTAGAAAATCCATAGCATTTTAGGTGTACGTGGGAGATGTTTAGTTTTCCATGTTGGCCTTAGATCCCTAGACTGCATATCAGTGGTACATGTCTAAATCCTTTTTTTGGAAAGGCCAGGTGAGTTTGAAACCTGGGTCCTGTATTTAATGAATGCTTGAACTTGGGACTTTCCTATGTGAGCTGAGACCCTTTTTCTGACCACCTCCCCTTTGAGAATTGGCAGCCTTAAAACTCTCAATCAGAATTTCTAACTGATAGTTACGAGGTGAATAGTCTCTCTTCTGTTCTTTCGAGAATAATTTTTTTTTCTTTGTCTCTAGGTTATAAAAACACCCCAAATAATTAGTGCTCTATTCTGGGAATTATTACCAAATCACAAAATCTAGAAATAGTTATTTCTCCTCCCCAATCATTGTATGAAGACGAATTCATGGAAGGAGGATTCATCAAGGGCTATTAAGTGCAGGAAATCCTTGTGCTACAGAGTGTCGAAAGCTGAAGAGGATATTAGAGAAGCATCACTAAATGCTCGTCCTATTCTTAGTTTCTTTGTAGACGTCCACTGTTGTTGTGATGG